AAAAAAAAAAAAAAAAAACCTAGGAAACCCAGTATACAAATGTAAGGAGGAAAAAAACAAGAAAAACTAAATTTATAGGCTAAAATTAAAATGTAAAAGAGAAAAGCTAAAGATATTGAAGATGAAAGCATTGAGTCACATGAGGAATAAAGGGAAATTTTAAGTCTAGAAACACAAGTCATTCTGTTCTAAAAGAACAGCAGAGAAAGTTTCCCACTTACTTCATCACTTTCGTCTACTTCAATTCCACCATCTTTGTCATCATCCATTTGTTTATGTATTGTCTGAAGAGCTTCCAGACTAAACTTATCTTCATCTGTAAAGCACGATGGGCTCAGCGATGTGCAGGGATCTGAGACAAAACACAGGGCAATTACTGACCTGTCACACCAAATCAGACTACAGTTACAGAACATAACTTAAAAGCAAAATCCAGCAACATCCAACTTCAGACCAAGTCACAGTAAGAAGCTTCAAAATGTCTAGCAGAGTGTCTTCACATCAAAAGTATAATATATGAACATAACTGACTAAAAACAATCCGATTTCACTGGTATTAGGCAACTACACCCAGAAGCTATAGCAGCCCTAAACTCAAGTTTCTAAAGTCTTCACATCTTTAACCATCTCTTCTCCTCTAGCTCATTATATTCACTATTCTTCCCCAAAAACAATCTCCCGACATCTTATAAAAAGCTAAAAATCAGAGAGTAAAGTAATGTAAGTCCTAGGAAATACAAAACAACCAAACTAGAAAAGGAAATATAGAGTATTTACATGATTCTTCTTTCGTTTTCCTATTTAAGATAATTCAAAAGTCTACCCATATGACTTTTTGAAAAAATATGTAACTTCTTAGGTTCAACAAGAAAAAATGAATTTTTTTACATCTTATTCCTCATGTTTTCCTTAAAATATTTATTGGTTAAACCTACTTTAATGCATTAAGTATGAATTTTCAAATTCAGATTGTCAAATACTAACTACAGGGCATGAATAGCTTTTCAAAGGCTAAAAATCATATTGATGAAAACTGCCTTCTACTGCTATACTTCCTACCTGGAGGACTGGTAGACTGACCAATTCCAGACCAAATTCGAATGATAAAATAATATTTTAAAATGTAATCAAAACCACATGTATTTCTAGAAATAGTACTGGCTTTAAAGTTTAATGTGATTAGCCTAAAGAAGGAATGCCACGTCTGGCTGATTTCTTCCTCAATAGTTTAAAATCTAGTGTATCATTCTGGCCTTGTTATGAGTTAACAGTCATCAGTTAATTGTGGACAAATAACTTGATATTGGGTCTTAGTTAACTCACCTCTAAAATAAGCACATAAACCAAATGCTTACAGTTTTACTGAAACTATAAAAGTCTAACAATATCTAATTTGATGCCTAGGTGGAAAAAAAAGTGTTAGAGGCCAATACTTGAAACATACAAATTTTATTTTCTAAAAAACAATTTGACTCTATATTACCTACATGTTCCAGTTACAGCCTAAAATATAGTTAAGCAATTTAACATTTTTAGTTCTAATTAAAAATCTAATTTAACTTCTTTAGTTGTAGAAGGGAAGAAAATGAAAAAAGAACTACTAAGTGGGCTAGATGTAGCTCAGGGGTGTGCTCACTTTGGCAGCACATATACTAAGATGTGCCTCAGGGGTAACAAACTTGCCCCTCATGCCTGCGGCCCTGGGTTGGATTCCCAGCATCAACAAAACAAAAACTAAAAAATGAAATTACAAGTTATGTGTCACACACACACACACACACACACACACACACAAATATTTAAAACCTGATCAAGATTTAGTGAAGCCTAAGAACTGATAAACATAATGGTCAGTTATGTTCCCTAACTGAAAAAATCACCAGAATCTTGATATGGCTATGAGTTCAAATTCATTTGTAATTATTGTGATGGACACAAAGTAAAAGATAAGCTCTCAAGTATTATAATAACAAATAGTATAAAGATCGCAATACAACATGTAATTGTCTCCAGCACAATGAATGTTAACATATAACTTATTTTCCTAATAAACACATATAACATAAAGTACTCCCTTATAAGATTTGCTTTAGGGTGTAATGTCACCATACAATCTTTCATAAATACTGTCTCCCAGTGAGCACTTCCTTACCCCAACTCCATTCCATTCATTCAACAAATACCTACTGGGCACCTGCCGTGTGCCAGATGCTAGAAATACTATAATGAACAAAAAGGACAAAATTCCTCATAAAACATTCTAGTAAGGAATATGGACATAACAAGATCAATAAGTAAAATGTACAGGCATGTTATTAGTGGTAACTAGTAAGGAGAAAAGCAGTTAAGAGCAGATATAAAATGTCGAGGAATTTTTAATTTTGTATTATATCTTTATTTTTGTCATTTTAAGACCGCACATAATGCTGTACTTTTTAAATCTCTAATTGCTTTACAGATCATTTTGTCCACACAACTAAGCTTATGAACAGAGTAGAAACCATGTTCTTTTATTCTCACATGTTCATAAAACCAAGGCTTGGCTGGGCATTTTTATACCTCTATAACTTCTGGTTACTTCATACAGTAACTAAATCACAAACTTCTAGGCTTTTACACTATACAATGCAATCACAGAAATTAGGAATTAAGAGATAACAGAGTAACTTATGCTCCAAAAAGCTCAGTCTAGTGAGAAAGAATGCATTTAGCCTCCTACAATATATTGTTAGATACTAATGAGAACATGGGTTACAGGTGCCACAGTTTGAATGGATCCCCAAAAACTTAATTCCAAATGCAAGTTTTAGAAAGTAGGGCCTAATAGATTAATCATGAATGAGTTAATTTCGTCTATAAAAGGGCTCAAAACTAAGTTTGATCACTTGCATATCTGTGCTCTCTCCCCCTTTGCCTCCCTCTTTCCTCTCCCCTCCATTTACTCTTACCCTTCTGCTGTAAGATAATATAGCAAAAAAGCCCTCCCCAGATAGCAACTGGGTGTGGACTTCTCAGCCTCCAGCACTGTAAAAATTAAGTTTCTGTTGTTTATAAATTACCTAGTCTGTAGTATTCTATTACAGCAACATAAAACAGATTAAAACACAGTCTATTATGAGAACACCTAAACTGAGACTGGAAAAGTCAGTAAAAGTTTTCTAGAGGTATATTTGGAGTTTTAAATGACTTAAATTTAAATTTAGAATTTTAAATTTATTTAGAGTTCTGTTGACCTTGATAAGTGTTATGATTTACATCTAAAATGTCCCACAGGTGTCTCATGTGTTCAGAGGTAGGGCTTCCAGAAGGCAATAGGATCACTGGGGCATTATACTCACCAGTGGATTAATCCACTGATATAGGTTCATAGCTCAATGTGCTGTTAGGAGGTGGGGCCTTCTAAGACAAGGTGGGCCACTAGAGGCATGACTGGAAGGGAGGATTCTTGTTGTCGCTATTCCCAAGAGGGCATAGTTTGAGTAGCTATCTTCCTCCATGCCCTTCCATCATGCCTGTTCTGCCTTGAAGTTAGCCGACTAAGCATGGGCTAAACCCACTGAGACAATGAGCCAAATAAACTCATTGTGATGGCATATGTCTAGAAGTCCCCCCAAAGGCTCATGCCAGTCATAGGTGGGACTTTTTCAGAAGTGGCTGGATCTAGAGTGCATAACGCTGAAATTGATTCATGGTCCAATGATAGGCTCAAGGGCACTAAAATTAAAGTTGTGAGTGCTACCTGCCCTAAGTAGCCTGGATAAAATAAAAGGGGCAGAAAGATGCTGTGAAGGTCTCCTGTCAATTTTGCTGCCTTCTGCATGCAATGAACTGTTTCTCCTCTGTGACGCCCCTCTGCCATGTGCCTTTCTGCCTTGCAGCCAGCCAACTGTGGACTGAAACCCTATAAACTGCAACCTAAATAAACTTTTCCTCCCTTAACTTGTTGGTGTCAGGTATTTTTGTCTCAGCAATGAGGGAAAAGTAACTAAGACACCCCTCCTCCTTTAAACTGTGGCTGTCAGATATTTTGTCCCAGCAGTGGAAAAGTGAAAAAGAAAGAAATGCATGCCTAGAATAAGAAATAACATTATGTTCAATGACATGAAAAAAATACAGACCACTGAGAGATATGCAACTGGCTCGATATGGATACAGATAATACATAAAAAACAAACATGATATTGGGCAGAACAGTGGTTCCCAATTATTTTGGCATCAGGGATCAATTTCATGGAAGATAATTTTTCCACAAAAAGGATGTGGGGAGTGGTAGAGTGGTTTTGAGATGATTCAAACACATTACATTCATTGTGCACTTTATTATGAACTCTATTATGCACTCACCATATTATATACTCACTTTATTATATACTCACCACAATGCAGAACGAATGAGAGCCCTGAACTTGTTTGCCTGCAACTAGATGGTCCAAACTGGGAAGAATGTGAGACAGTGATACCTGAAACATACTGCTTATTTCCAACCCACTCTGTAATCTTATTTTGGTTGCTATCACTACAGAAAGCCCAGCTTCACAAAGATAAGGCACTGGAAATAGAAACAGGCATTTCAGTGCTTTTGTGGCTATCTCAGGATATTCCACCTTGACTTTAATCTAGACCGTATAGAGATTTGAATTTGTCTCAAACATACTTTTAAGGCCACCACCATCTGTGACCTCCAGAAGTTCATTATCATCCACCATGGACAAAGTTGATTCATCTGGCTTATTCACAAATGGGTTACAGAATGATTCTTTCCCAGTTTTGGTGGTCTTTTGTAGTTGGAAAATAATGCTGAAACTCTTTTGAAAGCTAAGGTAGGTGACCATGCACCTACTAGAGGAAAGAAGGTCCTAGCTCAGTCTCAAAACCTCTATTAATGTTTGAAACATAAAAAATCCCAGGGTTCACGCATCACCCCCATAATTCCAGTTTGGTTTTGATTGCAGCCACTTCATCTTTTGACCTCAACACAGGTGTGTTCTTCCATGAAGTGAGAGACTGAGTTCACTGAGCAAGTTGAATATATCACATGAATAAGCTAGTTTTGTAACCCATTCTGTGTCACTGAAATGTGCTGCCTGCCAGTGGTGAGTGTTTTTCTAAAAGAAATCTCTAGTGTGAAATCTCAAAAACACTGGCCAGTGATCTACCTCTAGAAAGCCATCTCACTTCTGTGCATAAGAGAAGATATGTGTGCTCTGCATCCACCTCCTCACATAGCCGCACAAAAAGAAGTTATGGGCACGTACTTTAATGTGGTTGATAACTTCAATCACATTCTATAAAACACTGTCAAGTTCAGGTAACATTTTTCAGCTAGCCATCATTTCTTTTTGGATAACATGG